TTTGTTGAATATGTCTGCAAAGCCATATCACTCTTAGATTTGCCTACATATCTCTCAATAATTCTTTGTTAATGAGCTTCAAGTTTCCCTTGAATTTCTTCCTTTGTTAATTTCGACAAATCTTTTCCCTCTTATATAGCTACCACCACATGTTCGAACTTTGGGGCCAAAGATATCAAGATATTTGCAACAACTACTCTGGTTATTAACGTTTCTCCACATACCTTGATTTGATTCACTAGTTTGGTAAACCTTGTGAAGAAATCTGATATGCTCTCGCTATCTTCCATCTGAAGCAATTCATACATTCTTTTGTGAGTTTGTAACCTCACCTCTTTCACCTTTTCTACACCTCCAAAAGATTTCTCAAGAATCTCCCAGGATCCTTTTGCAGATTCTACATCATTAACCTTTTCAAAATTTTCTTGACTAACACATTGGTGAATTATAAAGAGAGCTTTATAATTCTTCTTCTCTAATTCTTTGTGTTTAGTCTCTTCATCATCTAAAGAATCTTCATCAAGCGGTTCTAACCCATATTTTACGAGATCCCAAAGACCTTGATAACAGAATATAACCTTCATTTGTTTGCACCAACTTTCATAGTTATCAACTTTTAGAATTGGAAGAATTTTTGGAAAATTCTCATTCGCATAATTCATCGACATTGTGATTTTGTTCTTCTTCCCTTGATCGCTAAACCGGAGATCTTGATACCAGATGTTGTAAATCCACCTCTACATATGGAGAACTTCTATCAATCTTGATGGACAAGATTAATATCACTACACAATAATAATGAAAAGAAAATTAAAGAAGAAAATAGATTAGAGTTTCTGTAGAGTTTCTCTTTGCCCATAAACTGTAGAAAATATTTATTCACTTGCAACTACAAATTCAGTGAATACAAGTTTTTTTTAAATAGAGGTTACTCCCTCTATTTATAATGGCTTGCTTTCTCCCTAAGCAAAAAATCCCAAAACTATAAAACCTCAAAGTACATATTTTAGACCTAAGTTGAAATCCAGTGTGACGTAACCTACTTCGACATACACAATTCGACAAACAATTTGACACACATACACACACACATACGTAGGATATTTCAACATACCTTATGTCGAGCAACATGCTGCTTTCGTCACAAGGAATTATACTTTCAATAACTTTTGCTAATTCCAGCTCAATTGCAACGGCATCCTTCTCTTTGCCAAGTGGTGGCCCTGGTTGGCTAACTCAGCATCATCATCCTCAAAAATGATTTTACTATTTTGTCTCATTACAACTTCATTGAATGTTTGACTAATTGGTCCATAAATGTTAGAGTGTGTGAGTTCAAGATATCTAGCAGTTCTCCATGAGGCATGTTTAAGGATGACATCCCTATGTTATTTTCTAATCACACAGTCTGAGCATATGTCATTAAATTCTTTCATAGTAGGAAGACCTTTCACCATGTCTTTCTTCCAAAAGTGTTAATCCCTTTGAAACTTAGATGACCATATTTGTAGTGTCTCGTATACTATAGCTATTGTCTTTTGTCATTTTCAAGCACATAGGCATTACCATAGGTGAAAAAATTACAAACATTCTATTTGAAGACATTTGTGTGCACATTATCAAAATTTTCTCTTCGTGAAACACCTTGCATGTGTCATTGGGAAATACAATGTTCAACTTCTTCTATAACAATTATCATATGCTTAATTAGAAGATTGTTTCTAAGGTTTGGTAAGTAGTAAACATCAACAATGACATTAGTCATTCATCCCATGCATAACTCCAAGCCTCGTTTCCCTATGACTGGCATTGTTTAATTATCATCAAATTTGACTAATTCTCTAGGCTTTGTTTAGGAGTTTAGAGGGGAAAGGAAGAAGTCAGAAATCGATTTTTTTAAAAAAAATATAGGAAACTCTTCAACATTTTAAAAAATAATAATTTTGTACAGAATGACAAAAGAATGTTTATCATTAACATGTTTTTAAATTTTGAAATGCTATGATAATATATATTATATTTGAATAATTTGTCTAAACCCTCCAAACTCCAATACAATTTTTTAATTCCCCAGATTAGAGATATTTTAGTATTTAAATAAAAATGGATGCTTCAAAACCTTCCCCGCATAAATCTCTTTATTTTTTCTTGCAATCTTTTCCTTTTTTTAAATCATCCCCTTCATTCCTGTCTAAACTCTGATATAAAGCCTAAAAGAATCATCAAAATCAAATACACATTCGTTGTTCCCTATCATATGATTACTCCAAACGTAATCAAATAACCATACTTCTTATTTGCCAATGATGTTCAAAGGATATTGCGTCATGAGTAATAGCTCTTCACTATTGTCGAATTTTGTAAAATTTGCATTCTCCACAACACTCATTTTAATATTGTTCCAACTTGCGACAATGGTAGCATTCTACAAGTTCCTAAGACTTTATTTGAGAGTTTGGAGAAAAAGAGATGGGAAGACTTTGAAAAAATGGAAGAGCTGAGTGAAAAGAATAGTAAGATTTAAGTGGGGAGGATTTTGGAGGATTTATTTTTATTCTAAAACGAAAATTCTCCTAATTTTGTGAACTAAAAAATTGTATTGGAGAAGAGGTTTTAATGGTTTAAACAAGGGTTAAATATGTTTAAAGTCTCTATAAAGTTAGGCATTTTCAGCTTTCGTCCCTCTAAAAATTTTTGTTAAAGAATTGTCCTTCTAAAGTTAAGAATTTTAACTTTTAGTACCTCCTGCAACTTAGCAACGATTTTTACAACTTAGTGACTAAATTAGCAACGGTTTTTAGCGATAGTTTACTTCTTAGCGACTGAAAGCGATAGTTTTAGCAACGCTTTTAGTAAGAGGGACCAAAAGTTAAAATTCCTAACTTTAGAAAGATGATTCTTAAAAGTATTTTTTAAAGGGACGAAAATTGAAAATCTCTAACTTTATAGAGACTTTAAACTCAAATATAAATTTTGTTGTTATAGTATTTCAAAAATTAAAAATATGATAATGATAAGTACTACTTTATCATTTTATTCAACAAAAAAAAATCTAAAAAATATTAAAGTTTTTCTTTTTAAATCGTTTTTTTAGATACTCTCCTCCAAACTCACAAATCAAGCTTAAATGTCCTTCGCTCTACTACACACTAAGATGTTTTTTAAAATATGTAATGTATTATTCTCCTTGAAGTCTCAAAGTTTTTTAACAGCGGCTTAAATGACATTATCTTCAACAAATTTCGAGACAAGTTTTTCATAAATTATGCCCAATGATCGTAGAAGTAATCCAACTTGGGAACAGAATGAGGTGTGAAAATTTCGAATTTGTGTCCATTAGAAAGAAACAAATTGAGAACAAAATAGGTAAGAGATTTTCAAAATATTGAACTTTATCTTTATGTGTTAATATAAAATACTTAGAAGCTTAAATATAATTTTGGACAACTTGGACTGGTGGTAAGTAGGTGTGTCCTTTTACCTTAAGGCGCATGGTTCGGATACTATGAGTTCCACTTTTTGAATGTTTGTTTTATAAAATGTAATATAAAAATAAATTATAAAATGTAATATAAAAATAAATTTTTTGCCTTAAGGCGTATGTGCCAATCAAGCATGATAATTATTGATTGCACATATGCAATTTCTGGCATAAACTTCTCTATGAATATAGACATGTAAAAATTAAAAAACACACGAAAATAAAAAAACTACACATTCATTTTTCCATCGTTTCAATTATTTTAAAATAATCTTTTTACTTCATTAATACTAATGCATGAATGAAGTATAAGAAACATTTTTTTGTAGTCTATTATCAAAATATGCATTAAGTGTGTTTGTGTAATTCACATTAATGAATTCAAAATAATATGGAGAGAATTTGCAAATTCACCCTTAATCTCAATTGCATTCAATATATTATAATTAGTGGGGGCAAATTGATTCTAAAGATTAGTGTAATATTCACAGACTTTGAATTTTCTAAATACAATCTCTATCAACATCTTCTTTATTTCAGTGTTGCAGTATCCACCAACAAGCACAAATATTCAACAAAATAGAGGGGTTGTTTGTTTTAACTTTAAAAAATAGATTTTTCCTTGATATTTTCAAAAATGGATTGTATGAAATCGTTTACTAAAATATTACAAGTTTTTTAAATTCATTTTTTTTAAATTGAAAGACTACTTTTGACATCCTATAACATAAACATACATTATTGAATATCAAAATTGTAATTTTTTAAAAAATTATATTTTAAAAATAATTTTTATGAAAAGCTATTTGAAACAGCTTCAAAATTAAATGATTTTTTTAATTTTTAATATTTAAAAAAAAATTCAATAAAATAATAAAATATCTAAAATAACATCGTAAGAATATCTATTCAAACTAAATTTTTATTTAAAACTTATATAAAAAGTTCTTTCATGAAAAAAAATTTACATAAAATTATATTATATTATAAAATCAATTTTTTTTTAAATTGAAACAAATGGGCCTAGAATGAAAGAAGGAGAATCTTGATGAAAACAAAAAGATCAAAAAGGGATTGCAACTAACAAAACTGCATTTTGCAAACAAAGAGAATCTGGTGTTGGCTCTGGATACCAATTGTAAGATATTGATCAATTCATTATTAGCTTTAGATTATGTATACAACAAGTATATATAAGTTGTCATACACGTGAACAAACTTGACAGCTTATAACTAGCTTACAACACAAGTTAATTACTTCATAACCAAATAACTTAATAATATTAACTGCATTAATCCTAACATTTCTTGCGATCCAAAGTGAACATAAAAGAAAAATATCAATCATACTTTATTTATTTAATACCTCATAAGTTACACACTCATACAAATAGTGGCTCCTGTGGTTGTCTATATAATCATATCATGTCTCCTCATACACGAATAAAACATTTTGAGAGTAAATACATAATATGATAATATATAGTTTTATTATACGATGATATATGAATATAATTAGTTAAGGACCCTTGCCATTGCCTGGTTTCTTTGAATGCTTTGGGTTGGGTCCTGCCTCATCATAATCCAACACAAAATCATGGGACAATAGCTTCCTTGAGTTTGTCTTTATACCATCCTTCATTCAAAAACAAAAAATGAAACAAAAATACTTGTTAATTAGTTAAAATGAACAATATCTAAACATCAAATAATAAGAAAAAAATAATAAGGTACCTTGTCAAAAAAGTGATGAGTAGGAAGTATATTTTCTCTGAATTCTTCGTCGGCTAACCCTAATAGTAAAAAAGAAATATATATATTTTTAGGATCTGTTTATCTTCTATCTCTATATAATCTTTATTATAAATTAACAACTTGCTTACCTGAAGATAAAGGAAAAGGAATTAAGATCAAGAGTGTAACTAAAAGGAAAATTTTGATTTTATGTTCCATGGCAAGTGAATGAAATGAAGGGATATGAATGAGAAACTATAGAAAATGAAGATAGGGGCACCCCTTTTTAAACTGAAAGAGAGTGCTCTTGTCATGATGAAATGCAATAACTATACACGACACTTGTTAAGTCAACTATAATATTCCATGTATATGCATTAGGAAAAAACAATCAGTTTCTATTTTTTTTAATTTGCATGTGCACCTAAAATTTCCCTGCATGGCTAAAAATCAGCTAGCCATTATACTATCTTGTGTTGTGTGATTATGTCCACCTTTTCATAAGTCAACTTTGAGTTGCACTTGCAACATTGCCATATATAATTTATTTTTTATTCTTATGTGCTTGTCAATTTTTTAATCCCATGTTAATAAAATGTTTAAGGTCATTTTCAATTAACTTTAATATGGAAAATCAACGACATTGGTATAGTGGTGAAAGTTGATAAATCCTTCTCGTAGCTTTGAAAATTTCCCGTGGTTTCATCACAATTTTTAGGCAAGAATGGAGACAAGCATAGAGAGTGGGCTACAGAAGAAGAGAATTGAATGTAGAATGCGTTGGGGTTGGTTGAAAATATACACGTTGAAGAAGTTTTATATTGTTTATTTTTGTAAAGAAAAAATGAGTCCAATGCTATATAAGATTCAAGTTTTTCTTTACAAAATACATCGGTCAAAAGCGTTTTAAGCTTGTATTTGATTTTTTTTTGTTCTTTTATGCTCTTGTATTAGAGTGTTGTGAGATGTAGTTAAATATTTATTTTGGAGGGTGTGGATGTATTGAGGGCCTGAGTTAGTTGAGGGTATATTATGTGTTGTTATTTTGTTCCTCTTTTTCTCTATGGTTTATTTTTTCTCAACAACTGATATCATAGCTTTTGGTTTGATCCGGGGATAAATATTCTTAGTATGCTCTGTGGTTGCAGCTTTGTCTGATCTTTCACGTCAGAAAAGAAGGGTATTGTTGTTGAGCTTTTGGAAGAATTGAATGAAGGAAGAATTGTTTTTGACTTGTGGAAAGTTCGAGTCAAAGATGTGTTGACAAAATAAAGATTACACATGGTACAAGATTATGTCGGTGGTTGAAGAGCTTCCTACCAACATGGAAGTTTCACCATAAAGTTTCAACGTGATTTTCGGCATGTGAAAATTCTTGAAGTGGTTTAACTTCAAGTGAAGTATACTCTTCTTTAGATGGAGTATGATAGTTTTTAAAACTATGATTGTCGGTGAAGACAATGTGAAAATTCTTGTACTGGTGTAGTTTCAAATGACTATACTATTTATGGTGGAGTATGATTCTCGGTGAAGACAATGAAAGCTTATATATTATTTTCAATCAAGGTGGAGATTGTTGGAGTTGGTTGAAAATATACATGTTGAAAAAGTCGTTTATTTTTGTAAAGGAAAAAGGAGTCCAAGACTATATATATGATACAAGTTTTTCTTTACAAGATCCATTAGTCAAAAGCACTTTAAGTTTGTATTTGACTTTATTTGTTCTCTTATGCTCTTGTATTATAGTGTTGTGAGATGTAGTTAAATATTTATTTCGGAGGGTGTGGATGTATTAGGAGTTTGGATTAGTTGAGGCTATATTATGTGTTATAACAATTTTCACATAATGTTATTCTCTAGTTGTCTATTGACAACGACTGTGATTTTTTCTCCGATTTTAAAATTTTCACATTATATGTTGTCATTTTGTTTCTCTTTTTTTCTATAGTTTTTTTCTCAAAAGAATGCCCTTAATGGATGCACTAACAAAAAAAGAAAAAAGAGAAAAAAACAGTTACTAATTTAATCATAAATTAAAATAGAGAATATTAACTTAATCATCCTTTAGGAGACCATAATATATGTTGGTAATAATGGTTCTAAATTTATATCTGTTATGCATGATTGATGGTATTTTGGCATTAGTGAACAAAAGGCTAGTTGGTTTGATATTTTTTCAGAAACATGTGCTAATACAGTAGATATTTTCCAACTAATAACAAAACTAACTCAATATACTATTAATGGTACTTCCCTTCAAGCTTTTGAGTGAAGTTCAATCATTCCAAATTTATAACAAAGTTGGTTCAACCATTCGGTTGGTAAAAAATTTGTTACCACATCTGTCATCTAGTAACTAGAAGTAAGTATGTTGTAGTTTTTTTTCAATAAGAAAACTTGGAGGTTTGCATCCAAGCTTGTTAGTTTTGTACAAAAGATCAAGTACATATTCTTGAGAGATAAAGATGTCTTTCATTAAATAAATTACTTCAATTTTCAAAAAATATTTAAGTTGATCTAGGTCAGTCATCTCAAATTATGCTGATAATTTAATCCGGAGTAATTGTCTCTCGGTCAAGTTCTCTCATATAATAATAATATCTTCATCATAAACAAGAAGTATGGTTCATTTTCCTCCTTGTGATGTTTGAAAAATAGAGTGTGTTATCATTGGCTTAGCTTATAACTCAAAGAAACTACTGGTTTTGTGATTCTTCCGAATCATGTCCCAAGGGATTGTTCATATAAGGTCTCTTCCTTAATCGAAACACCTTATTGACTATGAGACCATAGTTTGGTGAAATCTCCATATACACCTATTTCTCTAAGTTTTCATACAATAATAAATTTTTAATATAAAATTAGTTTAGTTTCCTGCCGAAGTGAGCAACAAGAGATAATAAAATTCTAACATCATTCATATTAGTCATTGAAGAAATTTTCTCTTCATAATCAATTTCATATGTCTACGTATACCCTTTTGTCACTAGTCTAGTCTTGTAACGATCAAGACTAATATTTGATTTTTGCTTTATTGTATAGATCCATCAGCCTTCAAATGATTTTTTGTCAAAAATCTTTCAAGTTCAATTTTTTCAAGTCCTTTCATTTCTTCATGCATAGCTTGAACTCAATTTCCATTTTAATGTATCTTGAAGATATGATGGAATATTCATGGATTCGGCAACTACAATAAAAATTTGATACTACGAAGAAATATGTTTGGAGGAAATTTTTTGAGAAATATGATATCTATATTTATAGACATGTGATTTTTTATCCTTTCTCAAAGCAATATGAGAGTCACAAGCAATTTGAGAAATATGATATCTATATTTATAGGCATGTTGTTTGGATCAATTTTATGGCTGAAATCAGTGACAACTTTACCATAAAGGGCGGTAAAGTCTCATTCAAATGTTATGTGTATATTATTTTCCCATTGATATCTTCTACTTATATCATGGTTCTGACTCATTCTGTAGTCAAGGCCCAATCAAATATCATTTAAGGCGATTGTCCCTGATTATTGTGATTTTAATGGTAATTGGCAATCAGACTTGATGGTCTGATTCTAGATTATAATTCTCTCAATCATTCATAAATGGGTTATCCCGTGTATCCTTAATCGAGATATTTCCTTTGTATTAATTTTGGCTCGGCATGATCAATTTTTCCAATCAACTGCCTCATCCTGACCTTGTACCACTGGCCGAGTTATAATTCGGGGCGAGCTCTATCGTATTTAGACTACAACTTGACTCACTCTCGATGACCCAGTTCAATAAATCAGGCATGTACACGTTCTCTCAAACATGAGTTTCGTAAGGGTTAAATGCATCTTGAGATATACCTGAGATCAGTCATGTATGTAGTCCCTCAGGCAAATATATTGAAAAGTTAATTAAGTTAAAATTCAATAGGTAAGTTATTTAAATAGAGTAAGAACCTAGAACCAATGGATTTACTTAACAACCATTTATAATAAGATAAAAGAATTAAGAGTATGTTTGTTTCAAGGATTCAAAAATATAAAAAAAAAATTTATGTTCTTAGAAAAATTAATAGTTATATTTCTTTTATATATATATATATATATATATATATATATATATATATATATATATATATATATATATATATATATATATATATATATATATATATATATATATATATATATATATCAAAACCATAACAATATAAAAGTTATTATAGGTTATTTCATTCCTAGGAACCATTATACATAGGAATAATTTGTTTTTTAACCATGTAAGAAATATGGATATAACTAGTTTCTAACCATTTATTTCTGGGAATATAATTCTTAGATTTGAAACAAACACTCTTTAAATGATGTATTAAAACAAACATTTAGATCACATTCTAGAAATTAAGTCTTGAGTATGAAAGGGCGTGTTGAGAAATCTTTTATTTGATGAAATATGATATGAAAATATAGGGAAATAACATTTCGATTTAAATCAGTTTTCAATAAATAAAAAGTTTGAACCAATGAAATTTACATTGGTCTGATTTTGGTCAAATACCAAACCAATTAATTTAGTTCAGTTTGATTTGGTTCAATTAATCCATTTGAAATACTTTACTTTTTCAAACAATGCATTCATTCATCTTATAACAAACTTATTTCATGCTATTGTTTGTTTAAACTGTCATTTTTCATACAAATTATTTCACACTCTATATTTTTCATATGACTTTAAATTAAATTAAATAAGTTCGGACCACATACTCAAAATTTAATATACATATAACATTTAAAATGATGATAGTTCATCATCAAATGCAAATACATTCATCTTGAATTAAATAAATTCATACAAACATATTCAAAATAATAATGTTTACCATCAAATACAATCAAATTTATACTACATTTTAAAAATTATTATAATTCGTCATCAATTACAAATACTATCATTTTAAAATTAAGTTCGTCATAAAATTAAAAATACAATCAAAATAAAATTTTAATTTATTTCTAAAATAGAAAAAGAAAAAAAATGTGAAAAGAGATAAAAAAATCCAAAATTAATCTATAAAATATAAAGACGAGAACTGAAACCAAAGTTAGAATAACGGTGGTGGTGATTGGATCAATAGAGACATTGAACTGTGAAATTTAAGGTTTGTGGTAAGTGACGGATTTTATCTTTGAATTTTTTTGTAATTTGTTAATGGAAGAAGTCAAGTGAAACAACAAATGTGTGTACTATGTTGGACCAACTATTCATTGTCTTTAAACATGATATTATTAGGTGTGGCAAACGAACATGTCTGATCCCGTTTAGATTTGCTCTGGCAAAATCCGTAAAAAAAAACTGGACGTAACGGGTGTACATAGTTAAGAGTGTGGTCTTTAAACTTTTCTAAAAAATAAATAAGGGTGGAGATGGAGGATTTACGAACACTGCACCTTTTAAGTCTAAAAATAAAAATAAAATAAAAAAACAAAATAGGTACGTGGGATAGACATATTTGAAGATAAGTGTCTAAAATCTTAATTCATCCCAAAAAAAGTGTGGACAAAACGGTCAACCAAAACATTTTAGTCACTCCTAAATATAATTATACACGTTAGTATGATTTATCAGTTTTCCAATTTTTAAAGATGAAAACCGAAAATTGAAAGAAGAAAAAAACGGTTTTTATTGATCCAGATTAGTTTTTAAACCAACCCAAAATAGATTGATTTTTTTCAAATTTGATTTAATTTGAATTTTTTGTTTATTCGGTTTTTTTATATGCTTATTATACCCTCAGTATAAGTAAGTGGTAGAGAGTGTTCTTGTAAGTTATTTTTGTAGTAATTCAGTTGGATTCCACCAAAATAAGTGCATGTATCTATCTATGCCCATATGTGCAATTGGCCATTCTTCATAAGTCCTTATACTTATCAATGATGAAAAAAGGAGCCCTTGGTTTGTGTGGCTTATTATTGCTCATGCCAATAAATGGAATGAATTATTCATTGTTGAATAGGCAAAAATCAGAATAAATCAGGCAAGTTAATAATGCTGCACATGCACTCAGGATTCTCTTTCTAAATTGGTAGTACACAATCATTTTAAAAAGGATTGACTTCCAATTCTATCATTCATAGTTGAAGTTTGACAGTGAAAACTTTTTCTCTACTATATACAGATGTGTGTATCACTGTTTTCTGAATGCTGGAACTGAAGTATAGACTAGAGATGAATGCATTAAGTCACTAAATGTATACTAAAAGTGGAGTTTCTGTTCATTTTGGAAGGTACTATATCATATAGTAGTCAAAGACTACAAATTCTAATAAGGTAATTGCATATGGAAGATGAACTGAAAATTATTATTAGAGATTAAAAAAAAAAGGAGAATCTTATGTATATCTAAACCACTACTTTATTAGGAGTTATACATTGGTGGCAGTCAGATCAAAAAAGTTTACAAGCACTTTCTCTGAACTAATTTGAAAGTAAGAAAGTTTACTCACATTTAATCCTTTTGTTCTCCATTCCATTAAAACTCAAATTATATACAACATGGAAAAAACCTAACTCATCATTTTCTTCTTTGAACTATTGCGGCCACTTTAGATTAGAGTAAGACATTAATTATTAGATGGCTTTTCAAGGGTCTCGTGGGACCAAAATGCACCTATTCATATTATAAGCACTTGATAGATTAATTACTAAACTTTTTAGAGGTTTAGAATCTAAAAGCATGACATGGAAAAGAAGGCATGAATTGATTGCAATGTCCCTACTAGTTACCCTCTAAAAAACATCTTAAATTAGAAAAGTGACGATTTTTCACATTTCATTGTTAATATCAAGATTTATACAGTAAGAAATAAATGGTTTTTGAATTTGATCAGCGGGAGCGTTCATTAAATTGGATTGACCTAAGCCCTCGAAAAAGCAATTGAAATCGAAACAATATGATTGTCTTGGAATAACAAGCATGGATAGTGAACTATATATATCAAAACTTAAACAAGTTAATGTCTTTAATTTGGTTATCTAATCTATATTTTTCAACTAGATGACTTTTTTGATTTTGGTTCCTCGCCAATTTGCTTCCTGAACCACAATTTTGATGAAAATAATAATAAACAGAAAGATACGTATAACTACTAATGAATTTTGTTTCAAGTACTAATGGTACATAATGCAGGAAACATGAAAACATCCTAATGAAGACTGTCTATGAAAGTAATAAAACAAAATTATACAATTTTATCTTATCAAAGTATAAAAAAAAATCATATCACCAAACCATAATAAGGTATAAGGTATACAGGACACATGACAAAATGCCCGTGCAAACCAAAATTCACAAATTTTTATAGACACAAAGGAAAGATATCAAGTAAAGGCTTAAACCCAGACGACTGCCTTCCAACAAGAGAAACAGCAATCCACCACATTCAGTTGGTTCTTTTGATCTCGTCACATTATATCCAACCATCTTTTGTACCAATCCACAGAAATAGCCAATATATGATTTTACATACGCAGTTCAAAACAAAGATATAAAGAAGGCTTGATGATTGCAAGAATTCAAAATGATTTTGACCTAATAAACCAAATGACATCAAAATAGAAATGCATAATGCAAATAGGAAGTAACTTTTCCCGTCCTGGGTCAACAATCACAAATGACTCGGAGAATAGAAAAGCAGTTATGTGTAGAAAAAGAAATATGGATGATAAACTGCCTAGGGATACACAGTGAGGTGATGAAAAAAATGACTCAAGATGATGCAGGGTTAAAAGTCAGAAAAAGGAAGAAAATATCTAGAAACAAAGCACTTGGAAGGTGTTGACGAAAACCAGTTCAACCCTGGGAGTTCATCTATTCCAATAACCCACGACCAGATCAGGAAAAAAAATCATTTTTAGCATAGAACGGGTTTATCTCAACTTTAAACTCAGCATCCAAGCCTGACTACGAGTGGAGTAGTTTCTCAGTCATGAATCGGTTACCTTCCCCTCAGCAGCTCAGCCATTCAACTTACACTCCTCATCTAAACCCACATTTGTAATTTGTCGCTAACTTCTTCCTCTTGAAAGTACTGGACTCAATGGTGCTCATGCAAAAGTTAGTGATGCATTCTTGAACGTACTGGACTTAATGGTGCTCATGCAAAAGTCAGTGATGCATTCTTGAACGTACTGGACTCAATGGTGCTCATGCAAAGGTCAGTGATGCATTCTTGAACGTACTGGACTCAATGGTGCTCATGCAAAGGTCAGTGATGCATTGGAGATGATGCAAGAGTTAGTGACAACTTGAAGGCCTTCAAATAGATACCTTCTGTTGTCTGACCATGGAGACAATGTGACACATGCAATCCCACGACCCACCTCGACACACCCAAATGCATGCAAGTAGTCTATGACAAAGGATATGCTAACTGAGATGAACCTCAAACAGATATAGCACGATTGATAGCCAACTTGGCCCATTCAGCAGACTCTTTAATCATATGGTCATCTGAGGTCAAACATTCATTTAAGAAATCTCTGCTTGACAAAGACTGTTGAATTAAAGAACCAGCATTGCTTCCAAGTGTATCAGCTAGATCTCCAAGGACTCCAATGGCTGTTTTCATAACCACATCATCCCTGCAATGCGAAAAGTCGATCAAGTCACTTAACTTAAACAATGAATATATATATTGCCAAAAAAAAATAACTATTCCATTTCTTACATGTCTTTTTCCATGTATATGCTATCCAAGAACTGGAGGATGTGAGGAGCATAAGGAATCAAGAGCTGGGTTTTTGATGAATTCTTAAAACCTTGGAAGATCCCAGAATATGCCTCTAATATCCCATTTCTCAGAGAGTTGATGTACTCTGTCATTTCCAAGTCAAAGGCAGATGTGTGGGCGTAAGTCTCCGCAGCAATTTGTAGTGTGTTCATTGCATACATTAAGTACTTATTGAAGTTGTCTCCTATAGCAAGTGCTATATCACCAATGCATGAAAATAATGGCGGCTTTACAGAACGGTGCAAGTTATCACTTGACAAATTTCTGAGAAGTTGTGTCATAATCCCGTCACAGTAAGGCAGTATTTTATCCTCCAATGCTCTGCATATGTCGCCTACTACACCAACAGTTACAGCACAAACTTGGTACTCCTCAAAATTCTGAAGGTCCATCTCCAGAAACTGGTAAAATTCTGGCAGGTATTTAGCAAAATCAGGGCCTATTGCATAGGCAAGGGCTCCAATAGCTAGCATGGCCTCCTCGTGTGCAGTGGCATTTCTACAAGCAAAAACCCTGATGAATAGTCCCATTATCTGATCAGCATACTGCAAGAAAACATATTTGGTAGGTTCTGAAGACCCTAGCTTCTGAATAATCACTTGCAAGCATCCACAGAGAAGACCTATAAGTTCACTCTGCTTTTCTCTTTCATCAGATGAAAGATTTTGTGCTTCAAGACATTTGTGTAGCTCCATCATGATGACAGAAACTAGTTGTAAAACCAAAGGAGCTGTTTCACCTGTTGAACACCTTACTACTTCATTCAATGTTTCGTATGCTGACGCTCTTAATCGAGATTCTGTAGCATCCTCTCTGTGGGTAACAGTGAGAAGTGCTTGAACAATTTCCTGGAAAAAGGGAGTAATGGGAGATGTTTGTCCCACGTCCTCGTAACCCTGGGCAAGAAAATACAGGGCTCCACAGGCTTTCTCGGCAACATTAGGGACATCCTTCATGCTTTGAAGGAGAACTGTAATAATCTGTTGGGCATTTCCCTCATTAATAATTGGTGTGCCAACAATTGAACTGTGAAGAAATTCAAACATTCGTCCCAAAGTCCAAGCAGTGGTGTCTTTAACATGGTTGCTCGGATCCTTTACTAAAGCACTGAGCATAAAAGGTAAAGCGTGATTAACAAGGGGTATGAGTTTGTCTGGAGAAGGGCCCTCCAAGATAGAGCCAAACGCATATGTGGCTGCTTCCCTCTGTCTCCAATCAGGTTTGGTAATATTCTCCTCGATGAAGGGCATTACCAGTGGCACAATATCATCTCCAGTAGTGCGAGCAACTAAACCAAGGCATGTACCACCTGCCATTGCAATATTCCATGCACCTTCATCCAGATCTTGATCCTCTTCTTGTTTGAGTAACGTTTCCAACAGCAGAGGAATGAGTGCGGGAAGGGCTTGCTTAATGAAATAAAAACAAGGTAAATCAGAATCCCCAGTGGTATCGCCCACATATTCTTCCAAGATATCAGTCTCCTCATCACAAACCGTACTCCAGAATTCAATGGCCTGGAGAGCAACAGGCTCCTGATCACCCCTAACAGCCTTTGCTGTGATGTTATATATATCCTGGATGTAAGGAGCCAATTTTACATAATACATGGCCGCAATTGAGACCAAACATTCAAAAGCTGCCTGTCGTATTTTCACTTCAGGAGACATAGTTGTCTCACAAACAACTCTCATGATATATTCACGCTCCATATCATTGCTAAAATTAGCCTGTGCAAATCCAAGAGCATTATATAATGCCCTAGTAGCAGCAAGTCTGACATCATTGTTCTTTTCAGATGAATTCATACCTTGAACTACAGCAGTAAGAATTTTATTTACTTGGTCTTGTTCAACAACCTCGTGAGAGACTTCCTCACACAAATACCCCAGAGTCTCCAAAGTTGCTTGCTTCACATGAGCAGGAACTTGATGAATATTTGATAAAAGTGATCCTATCAGCTCAGGCCACTGTTTATGTGGAAGCTCAATTCCAGCAATTTTAGCAACAACTTGAGTTGCCGTTGACCGAGCATCAACTACAAGAGAAGAGAGTGTTTGTAGCAAGCATGCCTTAACCTGAGCCTTTGCTGCGGTCTCCAAAGACAACCATCTCTGAACCAATTCCCGTTTTCTGTTTTCATCCTTGGCATCCAATGCATTTTTAAGTATCAAACCTGCCAACTTGCGACTATCAACTGGTTTTTCTTCATTTGCTAACTCTCCAGAAAGAGAGACCAAGAAACCAGGAAGGTTTTGCTCCTGAAATTGCCGCAAACTTTCCTCAGCATGCTTACGTACAGTTCCATCAATTGATTGAGCATTCAAAAGTGCCTGAGTAACTTCCATCGACATGATATACCTAATGGCACAAAACAATAAGCTCTTAATATTCCACTTATAAGAAAATTTGAAAAAAAATAAAAATAAAAAACAACGCAAGATAACGAGTCTATTGACGAAGCAATTATTTTATTAATAAATTATCCAGATCCCAGACCAAGAGACTAACCAATTGGTCAGCAAGTTAAATATAGCCACAAACCACAAAACAACAGCAATATATTAATCAAGCAGAAACAAACACCAAATAGACAATCATGTGATTATGATTCGAAACGAATCCGTAAAAAGCTGACCACAAAATTGTAATCAAAATAAAATTGAATTTCTCAGTATAACACAAATTCTTCAATGGTAGCCAATTCATATGAATCAAAGATAGTTTTTCGCAATCGATAACAATTAACAACGTGAAATTAGAAACTAAACCAAATCTATAGTTAAGCGAATGCATGATATACAGTTGAGTTGACTACATCAACTGCGTGCGCCATTGATTTTCATCTCGCACAAGTAATAATCGATTTCAGTTAATCGAGTAAAACAAAACGATGATAAATCAATCCAATTCAATACGATAACCGATTCAAACCGACCATAATCTAAACGGAGAATAAAATCAACGTACCGAAACACGCTAATACGAAAACCTAAATCGCAGAAACGAAAATCACGATAAAAACAACAACGGAAAATTGAAATCGAAAAGGAAAGAACGAGAATGGAAAAAGTGGATCGGATTAACGAAGATACCTGGAATCGGAGAAGAGATCTGAAGAAAGAGCGAAGGAAGGAGTGAGTGAGAGAGAAGAGAAGAGAATAGAGAGTAGACAATTGTAACAGCGGTTACAATCACAACAAGCGCTGGGTTCGAATTAAAGAGTAAAATTATAATAATAGGAAATAAATAACTTATAAAAATTCATTTTTGAAACAGATAATAGTGTAAAATAAGGGTATTTGGATTTTTGGTTTTTAAAATTTGTTTTGAAAATCTATTTTAATTTGTTTGATGAACAAATTTATAAAAATTTGTTTGATGAACAAATTTATAAAAATTTGTTTGATAGTTTAATTTTTCATTACTATTTTTAAGAAGACAATAAAAATATCTATTTAATCATCTAATTTTGAAAATCTATTTTACTATATTAAATAAAAACTAAAACAATTCAATATATATATATATATATATATATATATAATTATGATTTTGTGAGAATATAATATAATTTAAGTCAGTGATATAGGTTGCATTTTTATGTCAACAACTTACATCTTATTATATAGTGTGTAGTTTGCAAACATATAATGTAATCGATTATGTCAATAGGTTATATTTATAGCATTTAAAATGCAATTATTTGACATAACATGTCAACCGATTATATCTAGGAGTTTTTCAGTTTTTTTTTTATAATTGTACCTCATTTTATGTAGTTGTATTTATAATATTTGGGTATCTCATTAATAAAAAAAATATTTATTTTCACCCTCAATTACTCTCTCTCATTCTCTATCTCTATCTCTTTATCTCCCTTTTCACACTCAATTATTATTAACCTTGTGGTTCCAAGTTCTAACATTTGACATCAAGAGCCTGGTTCGGTCAATCAAACACCAATGCGTGAAAATGACTTATGTTTCCAATGAACGAATCCTTACAAATCTCTCAATTCTCTATGCGAAGAATTATGACAAGTGGTGAAAACAAATGAATGTGTTATTTGACTATCAAGATGTTTTTGAAATGATTAAGAACGGGGTAACTACACTTGTAGAATGTGCAATGAATGCCCGACGGTCTAAGCATTAGGAGGAGAAGACGAAAGATTATAAGGCGGTATTTTTTATCCATTAATGTGTTGATATGGATAATTTCGAGAAAGTTAGTGATTGTGAATCATCAAAGTAAACGTAGGAATTCTTGGAGAATGTGTATGCAGGAGCTGACAAGTCGAAGGTTTTGAGGTTACAAACTCACAAAAGACAGCTTGAGTTGACTCAAATGGAGGAGAAGGATGGCATCAAATATTTTACGACGAGAATTACTCGGTTGGTGAATCAAGTAAAGGCGAGTGGAGTAACAATCACGGAGCAGTATGTTGTTGCAAAAATGTTGTATTTTTTATATTAAGATTTGACAATGTGGTGGTTATGATTGAGGAATCGAAGGATCTTGTGTTGATGAGCAAAGAGGAGTTGCAAACCTCTCTTGAAGTACATGAGCAGAGAATGGAGGAAAGCAATGTTAGGCAAAGATAAAGATCGTTTTGCATGCCCGTTTCAATGAGAGAGACAAGAAGGCAGAGGGAAAGTGGCCCATGAACAAAGGTAGAGGGAACTTTCATAATTTTGGTGGAAGATAATTTAAAAATTCAATATTTCAAAAGGGTAAAAACAACGGCAATAGGGTTGTTGGACCAAACAACTCTATAGGTGGTAATGTAAGAGGTAGAGGAGAAAGAAATGTGATTAACAAGAGTAGTGTGCATTTCTGTAATTGTTTTAAAAAAAATCAGTTCGCAAGAGATTTTAATGCCAACAAGAAAGAACATCAAAAAGATGAAACTATAGTTGTTAGACAGACTACTATAAAATATATATTTGGTAACACCATATTACTATGGACGTTTAAACAACTGCAGTAATAACTCATTTTCACATGCCTGGATTTTTTATTATTTTATTAAAAGATATTTCATCACGGTCCATAAAAACAACTGTTGTGATAGATGATAGCTTACATGCTTTGATTCCTAACACCAACAATTTTTTTATTTTATTTTTATAAAAAGGGTTTGTCCTTATACTCTTATAGATATATTAAAATTAAAATACATATTACCATAATTATTACCATAAACTGTTGTAAATTGTTGTTATATTTTATTATGATTTTTGTTAAAAGTCGTGGTGATAAGTTTTACATATATATAATAAAAGTTATCAAGCTTCGACACAGAATTATCGTCACTCCCAAAACAAAATCCTAACATTTCTCTCTTCCACGTACAGTAAACTCGTCCTCATAAGCTTCTTCATACTAAAAGATAATCAAGTTCTTACGCTTTATCTTTCTTCTTCTTCTTCATAAGCTTTCATTCATATTATTCATATGCTTTCTTCCATTGTTCTATGTATAGGTTATTCCTTTTTTTTTCATACGCTTTCTTCTTTATCATTCCATTTGGTATTACAAAAGGGTTTTTATTTGGCATGATTTTCGTGTTTTTGGATTATCTCTACTAGGATCTTTGTTTTTGAACTGGATCTCAGTTACCACATATGTTTCATGTATGACACTAGTTCTTCTTTAAAAGGATTTTTATTTGGCATGATTTTCTTGTTTTTTGGGTTATACTTACTTGAATCTTTGTTTTTGAAATGGATCTCAGATACCATATTTGTTGCATGTATGATATTAGTTTTATAAATAATTTATATGTGATGTCTCTACTTGGGTGTTAAAGATGATAGAGATATCATTGTATTATATGACTAGCTAGTCTACATGATTGTGTTAACTTGGTCTCTAATTTTGTTAATTAACTACTTTATGCATAATGTTTGCACACTATAAACACAAACTATTATGACCATAACAACATATTATAAAATGTCATAAGTGATTATTTCCAAATCCAATTTATGTCTCTCTTTATGTTAATATGTTGTTAATGTCATACTAGTTTATGTTTCCATATCAGGTTAACATTTTGAAAGTTGTTTATGTTTTATTCAAGAGTTTATTGTTCAAGAGTTTATGTTTTCAAATTTGGTTCAAGAGTTTATGTGACGATATCAACAAGATAAAGAGATTTTCCTGCAAGACTCCAAGATTGTGAGTTGTTCCAAGATAATGAGATCAATGACGATGGTGATTTCGTTCATTTTTCACTTATGGCTGAATCTGAACCGTTAAAATGGAGGAAGCCTTGAGTGATCCAAAATGGATGTATGTTTTGAAGAAGGATATAAATGAATGGGTGATAATCATTTATATCTATGTAGACGATTTGCTATTTATAGAGAGCGATAAAGGATGCATTTATAAGTTTAATAGTTGAAGGAGTTTGAGATGACCGACCTATGCCTCATGATATATTTCATTGGCATTGAGTTCTAAAAGTCCAAGAAGAGACTGCTCATGCACCAAAGAAGGTACGCACTTGAGATTTTGAACAAAATTTGAAATGGAGAATTATAATGTCATTACTTTGGCTGAAACAAGGTTGCAGTTGTCGAAGAATGAGGATGAGCAAGATATTAATTCAACTCAGAATCAGAGGTTGATTGGATCCTTGTGTTGTAGAATACACTATCAGATTTGGCTTTTAATGTCGGTATTGTGAGCAGATTCATGGAGAGACTGAAGATGTCTCACTTGGCATTAGTCAATAGGATTTTGCAATACGTCAAAGGATATATTGGATGCGGAATTTTCTTTCTCGCAATGGACTAGGGTAGAAAATGCAATTTACTCAGATATACCAATTCCAACTGGTGCAGAGATAAAGCCGATAGAGAATCTGCAATTGGATACATCTTTATGTTCGGAGAAACACCAATATCTTGGTGTTTGAAGAAATAACTGATAGTGGTGCTCTCTTCTTGTAAGGTTGAGTATATTACAGCTTCGTTATGTATGTGTCAAGTCGTGTGGTTGATGAATCTATTGAAGGAGCTAGGCATCGAAGAGGATGACATTGTAACACTCATGGTTGATAATGTTTCCACTATAAACCTTACGTAGAATCTCATTGCACATGGGAGAAGCATGCATATTGAGATGAGGTTTCACTACTTGAGAGAGCTTGTTAGTGAAGGAAGATTGAGGTTGGGGTATTATAGAAGGAGAACCAAGTGGTTGATTTGCTGACTAAAGGAGTCTCAATTGAAGTGTTCAAGAGATTGAAGAAGCATATGGGTATGGAAGACTTATAGGACTTGAATTAAGGTGGTGCGTTAAGAATATAATATAATTTAAGTTAGTGCAACATGTTGCAATT